TGAGGAGCTTGAGGAGAGAGAGGAGTGCAGGGCAGGATCCCAACAGTTGGTTTTAAAAGCTGCAAGTGATACCATGGCTGTATGGTTCTCATTGTAAAGCACATTAATTAAGTTGTTATTGAATTCAATCTGCCAATTATTGTAAATGTGTGATGTGTTTTAAATCGTTTTTAATTAAACGGCTCACTGTTGTTGGTGAGTCAGAAATTAAACACGTTTCCGTCCACATTTAATCATTCAAAACACGATAGAACTCAGTCCAGAAAAATGAAAGAATCCGTTTAAATTATGAATAATATCAGAGACAGATATATGTTCATTACAACATTAATGTTCATGGTGCATATCTGTGTTAATCATATTTTTTTCTTTATTAACAGAACTTTCAGCAAACTTGGACAAAAAATATGAAGCAGTCCTCATTACAAACACTGTGCCCATGTATCCTGCATTTAAGAGTAAGTTATTACTTCAGGCTGGAAGAGACTGAACAAAGAGACACAAGACTGAAATTCTGCTGCTTTTTAGACTTAATTTTTTTAGACTTGTTTGTCGTCTTTAATCATCACTCTCTTCCTTGAATCGGTCATCACTCCTCTCCCTCACAGGAATATGGGGTTACTTCCAGAAAACTTTGGTGAAGAAATTTGCCACTGAAAGAAATGGACTGAACGTCCTTGTTGGACCAATATTTGACTATGACTATGATGGAGTGAGGGACTCAACTGAGAAGATCAAAGAGTAAGTCTAGTTATTCCTTTCAGTAATAACTCTCCAAACTGTTATGCATATCATTTATTGCATGCTTTCCAAAAACGAGATTCAAATGGACTTTTAAGTTTTGTAAACAACTTCTGATCCAGATTCAGGACAGTGATTGGTTAGCATATGGAACGTTCAACATGTTAATAAATAATAAAGTGTTATGTGTTGTCATCATTTTATGTTCCCAAACAATGGCGAAATTTGTTCTCTGCATTTAACCCATCGCACCTGGGTACACTCAGGTGGAGCAGTGGGCAACTATGCAAGTGCCGGCTGCCCTACCTCCTACACTATCTCGGCCCCAAGCTATGTTCAATGTGTGACTGGTGCTGAGTTACACAAAGTTGGCATGTAGGATCCTATCCTACATAGGATATGATATCCTATATTCTATATGGCAGGGCTATACAACTGGCGGCCCAAGCATCAAATCAGGCCCATGGGTGAGCGCAGTTCGGCCCACCAATGGGTTAATTTTTAAATAAAACTAGATTTTAAACCATAAAACAAACTTACCTAATAACAATAACTTCTGGATGTCTGGCTCTGACACAATCCTTGAGTTTTCGACCCATTTGCAAGCAGGCAAGCGAAGGCAGGAATTTAAAATAAAATTTATTTATTTTAAACAAAACAAAATGCTGGCCTGGTAGCAAAAAACTTATTAAAAAAAGAGGAACAGGCAGGCAAAAACAGGACGGATACAGACTCGGACGGGAACTCGGAAACAGAGACAGGATGACCGTGTAGTCTGCGTAAACAGAGCAGAATGGAATAATGACCAGACAAAGAGTGGAGGAGAGAAGGGCTTTTTATAAGACAGAGGGACAGTGAGTAATGAGAGCACCTGAGCAGGTGTGAATGAATAAGACTGAAGACTGGAGAGGCAGACTGAGGAGTGAGTGGAAGGTGACAGAAAACAGAATCAGATACACAGGAACAGAATCACGCAAGGAGCAGAATAACAAAAGTATAAAGAACAGAGAGGGGAACACAAATAAATATAAAGAAAACAGACAGGGACAGAGCCTGTCAGGCCCTTGAGCTCTTGGCTTTCAGAAACCGAACCACAATAACTATTTAACTGAATAATCCTGCTATATGGTATGCCATATACTATATGGCATACCATATAGCAGGGCTATTTCATTTAAATCCGGCCCACCTCATTAAAAAAAAAAATATATATATAATAATAATAATTGTTTTTTTGTTTTGTTTGTTTTTGTGGTTCTGGGTTTGGGTTTTGGGTTCTGTTTATTGCATTTATGATTTGGTACAGTATAATAAACAAATTTCAAAGGTAACAGATAATTGTAAACTTTGGTTTATTTACATAATAATTAGGGATGTGGCCGATCCGGTATTGGCCTCCGATACCAGCATAATTTAAGTATCGGATTTTTCCGATCCAACCTGCAGAGATTTCCTCTCCATGATGTACGTTGGCTTCAAACTATGGAATGGATTTTCTGAACAGCGGCGTGTTTCATGAACCCAGAGTAATAAGACCCACCTCACATTCAGGAAATCCATTTCATAGTTTGAGGCCAGCTACAACATGAGGACTGTGTTAGCAGCACTTTGGCTAACAGCTAACAAACTTTTCATCAAAACATGTCCGCTGTGTGGAAGTATTTTACACTAACACCATGAAACACCACAAAGCAAGACAGCAACACGCAATGTCTTCAGAGTCATAGCACCACATTAAACCACAGTAAAGTTAGTTTTACGTTCGAGCTCCATGGCTTCAGCGGTCTGCTCCTCTTGCTGAACCCGTAGCAGGCAGCCTGACCCCGGCCAGCCTCGTCCAATCTGCCCCGCTCAGTCTGCCCGTCTCAGAGGAGGGGCAGACTGAGCGCAGCTGATCGAAATCAGACTGCCTGCTGCGGATTGAACAAGAAGAAGACATCACTGAAGACATGGAGCTCGAATGTTTACCGAGAAGTTGCTAAACTTCATCATAATTAATGACCAACAGCTATTAGATGTAGAAAACGACGGATTTTGCAGCTTGATGCAGCCAAGATAATAGTTTACCCTCCAGGAGATATTTATCAGTACAACAGTAGACAATCATTAAAGAGCATATGATTTTAAAATTACAAGAAAATTGTATATAAAAAAAGAAACAAAAATAGCTACATTATAAAGTGATGTAAAATACATGTCTGTGTTGGTTTATGCCACAAACTTAACAGATGTTTAAAGTCATTTAATTGTTTATTTTATTTAATTCATTTATTCATTCATTTAAAAGAGACCAAATAAACAAAATAAATTCATCAAAACAAAACATTGAATGAAAAGAGTGCAGAAAGAAGAAAAAAATTCTTATATCTTCCCCTTATTTAAAAAATAAAATAAAATAACTTTAAACAAACAATCACTTAAATTAAATCACTTTAATATCCACTTTAAAGCTAGGAATTTAAAAAAACATGTTTTGTGTTAGCAGAATTTAATTCTAACTTTGAAACTTATCCAACATTAATAAAACTTATCTCCAGATGCCTTTTTGGACATGCATGCAAATATTTGTACAAACTGTACTTGAGAGGAGATTATTACAGCCTAATATAAAATCAAAAATGATGATATGGGAACGGGAACGGGGTCGGTATCGACCAATATCCAGATTTAGGTATCGGGAGCGAATCGGAAGTAAAAAATGTGGATCGGTGCATCCCTAATAATGATTTTAATTGCTGGATGTCCAGCACCAGAGCTGTTGGTTTTCAGAAACTTTGGCCCCCGAGCAATTTTGTTGAATAGCCCTGCCATATAGTATATAGTATGCCATATAGTATATGGTATACAATATAGGATACCCTAAATCCTATATGGTATCCCATATGGTATATATATCATGTTGGTCTGTCTAAAAGGATTTGGAATTGCTCAGGGTCCAGTGGGTCCGTGTACATTCAGGCAGTTTGATTTTTCGTTTGAAATATCACAAAGTACATACACATGGTGTTTGAATCCAACCCTTCTGAAAAAAACAATACTTTTGTTCTTTCATCCAGAAACAAATAATGCTGTTTTGTGAGTTTAACTGCCCCCCTACACCTAATAGTTTCATATTATGGGACACATTAAAAGCTTATCTAAGAGGATATATTATTGTGTACAAAAAAGGCTTATAAAGTCATATACAATAGAAATAGAAGAACTAGAAAAATACATTCTTAATCTTGATAAAGACTTTCAAAACCATAGAGATAAAGCTGTATAAAATTCACTGGCCAACAAAATACTCAAATATATTTTATTATGTACATATAAGGCAGAGAAAACTATTTTAAGATCTAAACAAAAGTATCTACAAACTTGGAGAGAAAACTCATAAAGTCTTATCATGGCAGTTAAAGAAAGAAGAGTGTAGTGAACTAGACCTCCTACATCAATCTGTCTCTGAAGACCTTCAGGGGACAGGAACTGTTATTTCATTGATTTGAATCCAGAAATACAAATTATCTCATCAAGAGACTATTTAATTGTATCCTGAATTAATCAATTGAAAGAACACTCATCTTTTTTTATATTATCATTACTATTTTACAATATCTTGATAATCAAAAGTGTGTTTAGTTCATACCATTTCTAATGTTGAAGTAAACCACTCATTCAAATCAACTTTGAAACAGTATTAATGATTTTTAAACCTCATTAGACTTAGATCATACAAGTTAAATGTCTATTTACAAAGTAAGTGTGCATTTTAATCTTCTGTCTGAATGAGGAGTGGATTTGATATCGGTCAAAAGTCAGAGAACAAGTTATGAGAACGAAGTACCTTGTTTTAAAACTCTCAGACAGTAAATAAGAAACTGGCGCGCCTGAAAGTCAGTCGAATCTTCAAAATATTTTCCTGTCTGTACTAACCATTCTTAAAAACATTTCTGCTGTCTGCGACTCCTAATAACCCTCTGACATCACTAAAACTCCACCCCTGCTGGTTGTGTTAACCAATCAGGAAGTACCAAGTAACAAGAAGTGGATACCCTTTAAAAGTCAACACTTCTTGGAACTATTCAGTTCTTATCCAAAAAAGTTCAATCTGGTCCTCTGGACATTCAAAAAAACAAAAAACAAAACAAAGCAAAAAAAATCTAGAAACGTTTCGTCTCTCATCCAAGAGACTTCCTCAGTCTGAGGTGCTGTTTTCAGCTCAGTCTCTTAAATAGCACCTTCACAGAGTGGATCAACCAGTTTGCTACTGACAACCAAAACCAGCTGATCACATGCTCAAGAAGGACCATCAGCCTAACAATGGGTCATTAGCACACTGATGGCTGTTTACTACTCACAGAGGGCTGAGTGATACTAGCAATCACAGCATTGTAAGAGGGGGACAGTTGAACCCGGAGGCCTCCACCCCTGTTTAATGATGGACGATTTCTTTTCACAAAGATGGCTTCCTTTACTCCTCTCTCAAACCATCGTTCCTCTCTGTCCAGGATGTGAACATCTTCATCCTTGAAAGAGTGACCGCTGGCCTGGAGATGAGTGTAGACCGCAGAATCCTGGCCTGATGATGTTGATCTTCTGTGGTGGGCCATCCTTTTGGCCAGTGGCTGTTTAGTTTCCCCTATGTAAGACTGATCACAGCCCTCCTGACACTGAACAGCATACACAACATTACTCTGTTTGTGCCGGGGGACTGGATCTTTGGGATGAACCAGTTTTTGCCGTAATGTATTTAATGTATTTATAATGCATTCACAGGACAACTTTTTATCTCACTGATGGATTTTTCTTTGAAATTAGCCATCATTTGCACCGACATCCTTATGTCAGGGTGGAGATTTTTGCTAAACACGTACTTAAATGGTTCTTCTTCCTCCATGTTGGCCTCGTTCCTGTAACCAAAATAAGCCTGCAAAATCCTGGAATAATATGCCCTGGGGTGCTCATCCTTACCTTGCACAACCTTGTTGGCGGCTGGATACCTGCCAGGTCCAGTGCAA